CACAATAGATACTAATGAGAAATCCTTTGTTAAAGTTCCTCCAACATGGCCGCTGTGACGTAACCTGAAAACGAAGAATTCCTAAAATAAACAACACTGTAATTATACTAACTTATGTTACACTGGATTCTAGTTACAGATGGTAAACACCAGTGGGTGCCTAAAGATACTGCTGATGCTGCCGAGAAATTTGCTAAGGTACTCAGAACTGGACTAGTCCTTGTTACTATCAGGTCACCTTTCTAAGCTTATTATCACCTAATCACTACAATTGGTCTTTCACTATAATGTCAAAATATGCCTACAGATTCACTAAAAATAGGCATTAGTATCCGCCAAAATATATGCTTTCACAAATTCAGCATTCTGATTGGCTACTTAGCTATGGTGTATTTATGATAGACCATGGTCGCATCGAATGAAGCCGAAACAGTCGAGAATATGTAGAGAAATTGTTCTTTACGGTCTTTTGTCACATTTGCCCAATAGTTTAGTGGATTACTCGTAGTCCACTCCACCTCGTGGTCTAATAGGCATTTTCCATGAAAAGGTCACATGTTACTATATGCGCCACAACCTCAAAAACAAAAGAAACGCAGCCCGTTAAACTTGACTTTTCTTTTTTTAACACCCCAGTGGTTATTTAGCAATCCAGTATGGCGGATTTGATTCCATTTAACCGTTTCATGCAACAGGCCTATTGTTAAATAGCTGTTTATCCATCAGGATTTTTGAAGGTCTCTCGTGATTGTAGGAATAAAACAATGCATATTGTTTCCTCGTTCTAAAGTCCTATTGTTTTATTTTCTTTAACAAAAGGGTGTAGTAAACCTGTTGCAAAAAGTGAAGGGCTACTCTTAGACTTCTTGATTTTTCCAAAAGTTTTGCCTTCAAATGGTCAAATCATGTATTTATGAATACCTGTCTCTATTTTATTTATTTATTTTTTTTCGGGGTGTTGGTTTACTCAATGTTTTTATTTGTTCTTCTAGGAATCGCTAGAAGAAGATTCAAGTTCTGATGATGATGATATATAGGGACGTACAGTACATATAGCACACGAACTTAACCGAACTATCATCCACATATAGTCAACCCTCGCTATAACGGACACCCTCGGGGGTGCAATTTAGTATCCGTAGTAGGGAGGTTCCACAATAACTTAAAATCACTTTCAGCTATTTCTTTGTCTTATTTTTATCAGTGATTCAGTCAGTAATCTTTTCCGAGCTGTCCGTAATAGTGGGGTGTCCGTAAGGCGAGGGTTGACTTTAGTTTGATATTTATTGGCAGTTAATACAGTACAAACGTACAAAGCATGTCAAGAGTGCGAAATGGCTCTACATACAAATTCTGGTGAAATGTTTTCTATTAAATTAAATAGTAGGTACTATATTAGTTGTTTGTAGACAACAAAAATGTATTAATTTCCTTAAACCGGCTTGGTGTTCACTGCGACCAAAAAAAAGAAAACCTCGTTGTTACCAACTTAGCCAAAAGTACATATATAGAACTTTSTTTTATGCTTTCTCTCCCTTTCTTTCTCGTTCCCACTTCCAGGATTTTTTCTCCGGCTGAACATTACCCCAGTGTTCCACACAGACCGTATATTATGATAGTTTTTTTTTGTCTTGAAACGCGCCATTATTGTAAACTGTTCATTTTTGTACTCTATAGCGTGTCATGCGTGTGAATTTTAGCTATTTTTGATTAACAGCCATAATAAAGCTACTTCTTTCAAATAAGCGTAAAAATGGCCGCCCTGTCCAGTCGAACTACCGTTGAATTTACATGTACAGGCAAATTTGTTTTGGAGATTCGAGAGTTTTGGAGCTCAAATTGTGACGACTTACTTGATATTTCAAAGTACTGAGAAAAAGGTAGAAGAATAATGTAGCACTCGTTTCCTCTAGTTTCGTAAAGTCTCCCTGCATTGATTCGTACTAGTTGTTTTCAAGGAGGGACACGTTTGCAATCTCGAGGATGTATTTTAGAGCCATAGAATGCTAACGATATTCCCAAAGAAATTTCTGAATTTACACGATCAAGAATAATGGCATCGYCCTGTCGATGATAGATGTRATACCTGCCAACAAAAGAGGAATGATCGCTGGTTATCAAAATCACCAGACCTATATTGACGACGGAACAAATGACCTCTTCAAGTTCTTGTAAACTATGGAGCTCGAACAACTCGGAAGTCAGCCAAGTATAAGTTAATTGCTATAGTCTTACTTTGATGTGACTGAGCACAGGACTGCTGTGGAGTACCTTGAAAAAAAGGGAACGTTCGTAACCCCGGGAGCGATGTCTTGCCACTGGAATACGGTCAAGCAAGGGAGAAGTATTGGTGTGATGGTATCTGAAGCAATCTCTTGTGGTAACTAGACCAATTTTGCCCAATCYATTGGTTATACTCAAGAAAGTACAAGAGGTCACACAAAAAAATGTCGATGGAGGATTCGTCCACACGGGGGAAGATATTTCACCATTATGCATAAATATGGCTGTCCTTCGTCAGAGTTGTGTAACTCCATGTTGGCCGAGTTTGACGGCGATCGGGTTGTGGCTAAGAAAGGGGAACTGACTCAATATTATCTGGTACATGGACAGGGTTGACAACAAGATAGAGTAAGTAGTTTTCGCCAATATAAAATAGTTTTCATAACACTGAAACATTTTCCTTATCCTAACAGTTTTGTAAGGATGACGACAGCCAAGATCTTAGAGATCCTAACGATGATTGATCTGTGGGACACTTGGACACTCAGATCACAACAGAGTTCAAACAAGATTGATTGGCGTCATCTTTGCGGGTGTACTTTAATCATCATCTTTATCATAATCGTCTTCATCATCTTCATCATCATCATCATGTCCCTTGAGAAGGGAAACTCTGAATGTAAACCCGAATGCGCAGGTGTTACGAACTGCATTCCGACTCGGCAAACGAAAGGATGTACTTTAAATAGCATACGTTTCTCGACCAATCCAAGATAGATCTCGTATAATCTATCAAATATTTTATAAATATTGATATGATTCATATATGTCTGGAGTTAGGAATTTCTTCAAATGAGTGTATACTATACTAATTTAAAAGGTTATCACTTCACTTTAAAAAAAATAATTATCTTTTTCATTTCTGTAAAATCAGAGCCAAGTGTTTTTGCAGTCAGCACTGTGGAAAATATCTCGCTCATCAGATTGATGTTTTTAAGGAAATAAATGATTTTGAACAACTAATTTCCGATCAAGGGCTTTCCTCCGGTCCCCATG